GTCCCCGCCAGCAGGACAGACGCCCTCGCGCCTCGTTCGGCCCGAGCTGGGACAGCCGGCCAGCGACCCAGAAATGTCCCCTGGGCTCCCGGGGGTTCGGGCGCAAAGCGGCCAAAAGCGCAGGGAGCGCGCCCGGCCCTTCCCTGCGCAGCGCCCCGGGGCCCCGGCGGCTGCGCCTCTGACCTTCAGGGGATCCCGCCGCCCCCCAGTCCCAGGATGCGATTATTTTGATTTTTAACATGCACGGGTTATACCGAAATTAAAAAAAAAAAAAAAATGGAAGAAGGGGAAGCACTGGAGATCTCGGCAGTTTTCGCGCGTGGAAGCCCATGACCGCCCCGCGAGGCAGAGGCTCCTCCCGCCTCCTCTCCTTTTGCCTTTTCAGAAACTCCGCCTAATACAGGGGATCGCCTGGGGCCCCCCCTGAGGCCTGGCAGCCGCTTCCCATCCCTGCGTATAGTCCCTGAGGTTGGGGGACAAAAGCGGCGCTCAGCCCCTAGGTCCATGTCCTTCAGGGAGTCACCTCCTCACGGTCTGAGGCTCCTGTTTGTTTGGGGGGACCCGGGGTCCACCTCTGCCCCGTCTCTCCTTCCCCACTGGGGCGCTGCTGGGTGCCCTGGACAGTGGAGTGAGCTTCAAAGCCTTTGCAAACCCCTCATGCTGTGAAAGGGTCCCCTGCTGTCCTGGGTTGGATGCACAGGGGAGGCATGGAAAGGGGACAGTGGGTCCCCTGAGTGGGTTAAGTTGACTCACATCGGTGAGCCTGTCGTCAGGGATGCTGGGCTCTCCAACAGTCCTAAGCTGTTCCTGCCGGTCCCTGGGCTGGCTGTCCTGCCTGGCCGGCCCCATGGTCCCCACTCAGGTCTCCTGGCGACACTGTGGGTGGATGCTGAGCCTGGGCGCCTGGGGCACAACCAAACATCACTAGTGAAGTTTTCTCCACTGAGTTTCCATTCCAAGAGCCAGCGCTTTAAAAAAATAGCTGCAAACGTGTAGAGGAAACTATGCGAATGCATTAACTTCTGGATGGGGGTGAGCGGAGACAGTCAGGGCCGGGCGTCGTATCTCTGCCCCCTTAAGGTAAGAGAGTGGAGCCTGTTTGCTCCAAGGCTGCGGACAGCAGCCCGTCGCTTGCTCACCATGAAGTCAAGAACGTAGGTGGCCTCACTTCATACCCAGACGCCGCGGTGACCGCAGCGCCCGGCCTTGGGGACCCATGGCAATGACGCTGACTGTGTCACCTGCAGCTCCACCTGTGCACACCCACACACACCATCCTGGGAGCCTGGGATCGCAGCGAGGCGCTCGGACCTAGCAGGCAGCTCCCCGAGGATGGGCCTGACCCTAGACTTGTCTAGACCAGCAGGCTACCTCGGCTCCCCTGTCTTGCCGCACAGTGGGAGGGATGCGAGAGGCTCTTCTCCCCATTTTCCAGGTGAGTAAGCAGAGGCGTGTGAGTGCCTGCCCCAGACATCCCCAGCAGCGGAGGAACCGCAGCCAGATGTGTGGGGGTGGGTGATGCAGGCCGTGGAGGAGGGGCGGCTCTTACCTTCCTCTGCGCCCTTCTTTCTCCACGGTGACACCTGTGTCCTGCAGCCCGGGGTCAGTGGGGTGGCACAGAGCACAGCGAAAATACAGGCAGGGCCTGGGGAAACTCAAGCAAGAAAATGGTGCGGAGTGCTTTATACACTGTAAAGGGCTGTGTCCATGCCACTTCCCCATTGTCTGATTCTTCCTGGAGGCTGGGAAGTCAGTGAATTGCCCTGGATTCTCTCTGGCTCCTGGAAGGTTCCCTGGTCACCGGTCACTCTGCTATGGTCAGCTGCTTGGCTTCTATGCCCGTCCAATGATCTGAGTCCAGGACATCACATGGGGAGGGCTTGCTTGTTTGATACACATTTAATAAAAATAAGCAGGAGTAGCCTGGCCGGCGTGGCTCAGCGGTTGAGCATCGACCTAGGATCCAGGAGGTCGCGGTTTGATTCCCGGTCAGGGCGCAGGCCCGGGTTGCGGGCTCGATCCCCAGCAGGGGGCGAGCAGGAGGCAGCCGATCAATGACTCTCATCATGGATGTTTCTCTCTCTCTCCCTCTCCCTCCCTCTCTCTGAAATCAATAAAAACATTAAAAAAAAATAAACATGATTAAAAGACTAAGATAAAAGTCGAGTTAGATACGCTCCTGTCCCCACTGAAAGCTCAACCCGATTCCATTTTTACACATGGCGGGGGACACTGAGGTCTGTCGTAAGGTAATAAATAATGATGGTGATGGCAACGGAGCCCCATTTTGTTTTGTATCTAGTCTAGTACCTAAGCTTTGTTTGCGGTGCCCAGGGGCCTTCTGAAGGCCCCCAGCAGTCCCAGAGCTGGGGGTCAGCTGCAGAGCTGGTTCCCAAAGGCCACCCACCCCACCTGGCCCCCGGGAGTCAAGGCCAGGCCGTGGGACCCGGGTGTGAAGCCCTCCCTTGGAAAGCCAGGTTCCTTGGGTGCAGGTGGTTCTATGGAGAAGGGTAGCTCTTCAGGGCAGGTGACCTGACCTCGGTGTCCTTGGCTCTAAAACAGGCAGACAGGTGCCCCCGAGGCGAGGGAAGACTGGCTTTGCCGGGAGCACCTCAATGAACTCGATTCCGTGTTTCATGTGAATTATTCAATGTCGTCAAGCTCGGCTTGAGTCGGGAGCTACTTGCCTTTCACACGCACTACGAATGAAGATCCCTCAAGCGCTCTCTGTGCCACGACCCCAGCCTGTCCTCGGGGAGCGTGCGAACCAGTGGCTTTCCTGAGCAATGTCACCAGGGGCAGGGGTGCAAAGATGGGCCCGCTGACACCTGCCTGAGTCAATGAGGGAAAGTCCCAGCACTGCTTCTGTTGACTGCTTTCTCTTTGATTTTATTTTT